TGGGCTAAGAAGAGAGTGAGGTCTTATTCCTCTGGATCCTTCCTGCCTAGATGTAGCTCCTGGTGTGTACAGGGGCAAAGCTCCTGTTCAGTGGTTCTCTATGACCAAAAATTTCTCTCCCTGCTTTCCACTGACTCTCCTTCTCCTTGTTCCCTTGGGCCTAAAGGTAATAGGATCAGTATTTGTTATTCCATTGTTGGTTTCCTCTAATTCATGTATATAGTTTATTTAATTAAAATGTCCCCCAATTAACTTAGTGGGCTTTTCCCATAAGAAAATTGACTAAAACAAATAGAGATTCTATATATTTGTCATCAAAGGTAACCTTTGGCTAAAATAATGTGTATGTGCTTTACTTTTTGTTTTCTTCTGCAGCTATTCTTTGGTACAAAATGAAAAAAAAATCTACAGAATTGAGAGGCAGGGAATGTCTGCTTAAATTTACTTCCTCATTCTGTTCCATTAGAAAGTGTTCAATAATATCCCTCCTAAATCAGAACATAGAACAAATTAGATTTCATTCAAATGCTATTGAACAATTATATTATTTTCCCTGTGAAGATGTATAGGCTATATTCAGCTATCCATCTTCTTGGAATCTAGATCCATTGATTGGCTTACAAGTCACCCTTAGTCCTTCAGCAAATTTTACACAGAATGCATTTCTTCCTCTGGTAGTTGAAATGTCTCCTTTACCCATTTTCAGCAGATAATGCAAGCTTCGACTTAAAGTGCCCAACTACAGGAACTTTACCTCCGACTTTGGAATTGTACGCAACTCCAACCCCGCACTTGTAATTATTTGCTTGCATGGCAATTTCTCCTGCGCATCTGGTCCCATGTCTGAGGATTAAAAAGTAAGAATTATAAACCTTAATTAAGGAAAAATGTTTATTTTGCATATGAATCCATGGTACATGAATATATTAGCTTTTTGTCAGACTTCTTATTGACTTTTTAAACCAGTATTATAAAAAATTATGTGCAGAAAAAGGTACAGGCACTAGGGTCAAAGTATTGTGAGTTCAAATTCTGATTTTGGCATTAACCAGTGGTGTGACTTGGGTCAATCATTTATCTTCAAAGGGTTATTGTGAAAATTGTAGGAGATATTTATGTAGTGTACTTAAACAGTGGCTGGCATATTTTAGGGACCCCAAAAGTGCAACTATTGATACTGCAATGAGAATTCTTTCATTCAGTAGCAATGCCTCAGACATGACTTCTTCCTCTTACTTTTTGGTAGTGAAATGGCACCTCAAATTCCCTCCTAGTGATTACTTTGGATTAGGTTATCCTGGACTAGCCCTAGTAAAATATGACAGAAGAATCCCCCATAAGCCCTCCCCATCTCTCCTCTAACCATATATCACAATAAGACTCCTAGGGATTTTCTGGTACTAAGAAGACTCTGACATTTTCTCAGGACATGACAGACTAATTGAGAAACAGGGAACTCTCACAACTCATGAATTTCTTCCATTGTGGAAACACCTGGGAGTAGTGTGAAAGCCCCTGGTGACTTGTGGAGTCACTGATCAGATATGCTGATATAGAGGGAAGAAAAGGAAGGACTACCTCCTTGCCAGACACTACCAATGGTAGACAATGCTATACTAGCCATCTATTAATTCCACCTGGCACAGAATACTAATATCCTAGGTTGACTGGGCCATCCAAAATAATTCTGCTTAATTTATCTTTTTTTTTTTTTTCATGAAGTTTGAAAGACGATTTTCTGGTCTCTTTCCACTAAAAAAATATTACTGCTTCTTCATCTTAATAGTGTATAGGAATTCAAGTCAGATCAATACAGTTTTCTTTAATTCAAGGTGTTCCTCCTGGAGGCAGACATCTGCTTCTTTTTTGAATGCTAGCATTTTTCCCTTTTGAGGAAACAGCCCTCCTAACTCCTTGTGATTCTTTCTGTACTAAGGCCCCTTCTCTCAGACAGTTTTCAAAGATTGATGCTGATGCTAGGAATGAGAACTGCATTCTTTCTTGGAAATCTTGAGCTTTAGTTCTAGAAGAGCCATGCAGCTCTTGCTGCCAGGCAATATTATATTGAGAAGTAAAGTAAGTAAGTGGTGGTAAGCAGAACCAGGGAATGGAAATAAATCCGAAGGACACCTTATTTGAGCTCCTGGATCTTGCAACACTGTAAGCTACAGCATCCCTTGGGTGAAAAATTCATCAGCCCCTGTTTTTATTTAATCTATTAGTTAGGATTCTTTCCCTTGCCACTGAAAATGTCCTGACCATTTTCTGAAAAATGTGTACACATTGGAACACATAGAAGACACCTAATACTTTGCTGAGAGATTAGCTCTTTGTCTTTGTAAAAGGAGAAATTCAGTTGTCATCCTCTGAGAAAGGTGCTTTCTGAGTCACCACTGCTTATATCTCCATCTATACAAGAGGGGAGACAGGGCTCAGGATAGCAAAATTGCAAGTTTCCAGATTGAGCCAATAGACTCAGTATGTTGACAAAAAAAAAAAAAAAAAGATGTAATGTGACACTCTCTATTATTTTTCTCTTTATGTACTAGTACACATAGGAATGGATTTTCTAATAAAAAGTAGCAGTAGGATCATGGTACAAATATAGCTTGATTATTTTTTCTCTTCTCATCCTCACTTCCCACCTTCGCATACTGAGAAATAGGGAAAACCTTATCAAAGTATGTCTATGTCATTCTTCATAGACCCACAGTTCTTTTTCTTTCCTAAGTCAGGAGCTGAGATAAACGAACCCTCCATTAACTTAGAACAATGGTAGTAACTGGCATTTAAACAAATTGATCTTTAAAAACTATTCTACAAGATACTTAAAGACTACTATTATTCTGGTTAAAATATCCCTGTCACACATGCTATTTAACTAGGAAAATAATCTATAATTGGTGTTGAAATACTGAAATACTGAATGCAGATTCATGCCAGCTTAATAGTAAGAGTTACCTGTACTTTTATAATTTTATTATCTAGTGATTCCTCTTTTGATTTGCAGAGGAGCATTTAAATATGGCTCTGTTAGTCTGATTTACATAGTAATAAAGAACAGCAGCAATAGAGGTGTTGGGAGAGATAATGCCATTGGAATTGGGAGATAATAGATCTCCTATTGCTATAAGGGCTATCAAAATGGGACCATTCATTTTCTAAATCTTAGGGATTTATGCCTGATAACATGCTAAAAGAGTGACTCTATTTTTTATTATATCTTCTGATAAATGATAGGGATGCTATCTTTTTGGTTGATAGTCAGCAGGACACTGATAGTTGCTCATTGTGTCATTTTTGAATAGCAGATTCTGAATATGCTCAGAAAATTGACTTGTCTCTCCTTCTTCTCCTATCAGATACTATTCTAGTCATTCTGATTTCTCACTGAAATAAGGTTTATCTCTGTTTCTATGTGAGATGCCATAGTTGACATCATCTTCGTCATCTTTGTCATTATCATTATCATCACCTTCTTCATTATCATCTTCTTCATCATCATTATCATTATCTCAATAGTCATTTGATTATTTCTCTATGTACCAGGCAGTGTCCAAACTGATGTAATCCCCATAATAACCCAATAGCTATCCCTTTTCAAAAGAGGATTAAAACCTAAGCAGAAAGAATTTAAATAATTTATGCAAGATAGTTTGATGGTTAAGTGGAAGATCTAAGATTTGACTGAAATCAAGATCCAAAGTCTGTTCTTAACCATTGGGCTATGCCATGTTAACTCCAAGCCATGTGGAAGGTTCACAGCAGGCAATGCTTATATAGAGATTTTGGAGCTCCCTGAGTTGGGGAAAATGTAGCTATTATAAACGCTGTTCTTCGAGAATTCTCCTTTTATGGTTAAGGAAGAAGATGGTCTGCTATAGTTTGGATCTGAAAAATCTCCCAAGGTCCATGTGTTAAAGTCTCTGTCCCCAGTTTGGTGCTACTGGGAGATGGTAGAAGAAGGGAGGTTCTGGGTGACTTTGGGCATGCCTTCAAAGGGACTATGGGATGCACTCTTTCTCTCTGCTTTCTGTAACCATGAATTAAGCAGCTTGCGGTATCACTTACTATCTACTTTGATAAACTGACTTTACAGGCCCCAAAGCAACAGTCGACTGACCACAGAATAAAAGCTCCAAAACTGTGAGCCCAAGTAAACTTTTCTTCTTTTAAGTTCATTTATCTCAGGTATTTGTTACAGTAATGCCAAGATGACTAACATAAGGTCTGAGTCCCTCTTATTTTGACAAGGAAAACTCCAGAAAATATTATCTCACCAAGTATTCACTTACTTACTATGCAGCCACTACACAAGTTATCACCCAAATGGATCCTGGGACCACCTCTAGGATCTACCTGAGAAGATGATTCATTAACTAAAAAAGAGGCTGACACCTCTAGCTAAGTCTTCTTGGCTGCACCCATGTTGCTTCAAGCAGATTTTCCTGTTGGTCTTAATGACAGGGTAGAATAAAAGCTATTCTTATTATAATAAATATTCCAATGAAATAAAAGCTATTGTTTTTTACCCCATTCTAAGGCAGGTGCCCATGAATTCTATGTACTTCTTTCTCATTTACTTAGGAAGTTCTTTTCGGAAATGTGGGGTGTAGGTGCCTTAACTCTAATTTTAGGAGACACAAAAAAAGTAGAGGCAGAGTGAGGTAAATGATTTCCTCAAGGCCATGCTCTACACTGATAATTAGCAAGTCATAACTATCAGCTAGGCTGACATTAGAAGGCTGTGTTCCAAAAGAGCAAGTGTTCCTGCTGGCTCTGCACTATCCTGACCTAGGAATGTGGCTAAAAGTTTGTCCAGGGGCCCTGCTGTCATTCCAGAGACACTCTCACTGTCCTCCAAGAGAGCACTACCAGTGATTCCTATTATATTGTTACTGGAATGTTCTAATCTCTAAAGATATTAATGGTAAACTTTTTACTCATATCCTTGAAGAAATGTATGGTACTTAAAGAAGTTGTACCTTTTACCCCTCCAGGAAGAAACATGCACCCAGACATTGAAGTCAAGTCCATGTGCCCAGCCTCCCTTCTGGGGTATGGCAACCTTCTGGAGTGAAGACCATCCAAATCGGGAAAGAACTTTAGGTAAATATTAATGCTCTGTCCACATGTTGAAAGAAAGGGCGAGAGACAGACAGACAGAGACTGACTTGACTAACCCATATTGGTAAAGAATCCAGGGCTGGGGTTGTAGCTCAATGGTAGAGAGCTTGCCTAGCACAAGTGAGGCACTGGGTTCAAGCTTCAGAACCACAGAAAAATAAATAAACAAAATAAAGGTATTGTGTCCATCTACAACCAAAAAAATATTTTAAAAAAAAAAAAAAGAATCAGTAGACAGTCATCAAAGAAAAAGGGAAGTACTTTGTGTAACAACTACCAAGAGCTTTTTAGTTGCTTTGTTCTTTCCATCACCATTTACAGAACAAACCCCTAATTTTGACCTTGGATTTGGTTTATTTTGATATGAACTCTTGTTGGTGGGGAAAATGAAAAGGAAAGTCTGAATGTCTCTGTGGGTTTGTGAGAGATATCAGTATGGATAAAGATGAATTCCCACAAAGGGATGGACACTTTGAGACCACATGCCTGGAGGATGAAATTTCTCTGGTATTAGGAAAGAGGGTTAAAAGTCCCTAGCTTCTGGCTCTTTCTTTGGCCTCTTGCTTTGAAAGGACTGACTTATGGCCTCCCTCATCTCTGTGGCTGCAATGAGCAGATAATAATCTAGGAGTCCAATGTTGTTTCTTTTCTCTTCCCTTGCCTTTATGACCAGTAGAAATTTGGAGCAGGTTACTAACTGCTTCAAAGCCCTGGGGGACTGTGTTGGATTTGGGGCCAGGCCTCAGCTGCAGTTCTCTTGTCTGTTATCTGGCCAGGCTCTACTGGGGAACTGATGAGGGTGATTTTGACCACCATACAAAGTTGTGGGGTTTATTCGCATGTATTTATTCATGTGTATTTCTGTTTGTGACTAACATTAAGCATATTGCTAATAGCACAAAGATTCACAGAGGAATTGATAGGAGACAGGGAGAACACAAAGTTTGTACCCTTTATGTCTCAAGCATTCTTTCTGAAGCTGTAAGTATTCAGTCACACATGACAGAAGAATTTCAGAATATAAAAAGGAGACTATCGTAAATATGAAGTTTAATTATTGTTCTAGAATCTAAAAGGAATATAAAAACAGAAGCTTTGGTTTTAAAACAACAACATATTTCGATATGGATGATGTACATTAACATTTCCTGAGAGCTGAAATGTGGACCAAATTTATAGTATAATTCTCTCAAACAAGATAAAAAACATTTTAAGATACTTTATTCCCCCCAAAATGCACATTTACTCACTTGTTTTCATTTGTGGGATCATATCGGGGAAATGGATCATGATCATTATCATTAAAATCATAGCTAGCCTCTGGATCCTAAAGAGACAATAAAAATAACACTGTAGCATCATTTTAAAAAAAAAAGAAAGAAAAAGCACTTCCTGAATCTTCTCCATTGCCTCTTCCCATTTGGGCAGATAGTTTCTAGCCTAGTCACTGAACATTTATTATACACACAAACTGGACAGTGATGATGAGCACAGCAAAGAGAGCCAGCATCCAACTCTCAGTGAGTGTTACAAAACCCTTAGCTCATAGATGCTGACAGAGCTAGGGGAAAAAAAATAAGTTTACTGGGTTTAGTCATATCATTTTTCAAATGAGAATAGTGAGTCCCAGAGAAGTTGAATGACTTAACTAAAGCCATAGAACTAGCTAGTGACACTTTGACTCTTGTATCTTATGACTAGATGAAAAGAGGAGGCAGTGGGTTGAGGCTCAGGTCCATATGTTCTCCTTTAGCCTCTCCCTAAAAGGAAATGCAATTTAATAAAAGAGAATGTGCTTGAAATTGAAACCAGCTTCCAGGTCCAACCCCTTTCCAACCAAATCGACACACTTAAAGTTTCCTATGTAGGAATTCTTTCACCACTACTGCTACTTCTCAATATTTTCCATGTCTTTCAATATTTCCCAGTTACTACCTTGTGATAATCTATTTTCATCTCTTTTTTTTCTTCCCTTTTCCTTTGCTCTTTGGCTTGAGCAGTGACTGGGGAATGTCAGATAGGCATAAAGGATGAGAGAAAGACAAAAGACAATCTTATAGATGAAATGTCCACCACCCTGACATAAAGACCTAAGATATATTATTGGGCTCAAGTTATGAATTTCCTAAACAATTTAGCATATAGTTTTAAATTACTTATTTTCTAATTTCTAGGAAATCTTTCCTTTCTTACTTGGCATTTTCACACTGCGTAGTATTCTGTTTGAATTTGCATGGAAAGAATAACGTTTACAGTGTCAGGGATATTAACCCATAAAGGATATGAGAAGAAAACTGTGAAAATGATTGCAGACATTAGGCTTGATTTGGTTGCTTTATTTTCCCCAAAGAAGGCTGGCTCATAGTCTGAGTGACTTTTTTCCACTCACTTATTCAGCAAACATTATAATTATTTTATAAAATAGGATCACACTATATATATTCCATTTTAAGCTTGCTCTTTCACATAATATTTTATATATATATATATATGTGTGTGTGTGTGTGTTTAGTTTTCCATGGCAATAAATATTATCATTATTATTTATTATAGCTTTATGGTTATACATTGTAGTTGAATTCATCCCAACAAACTGATCCATGCATGGAAGTCAATTTCGGTACATGATTCCCCCTTTCCCTTTCAACCTTCCTTTTCTTTCCATTTTCCCTCCACTCCACTATACTTCCTTTGGTCATCCATTGATTTGTATTTGATTGATTCTTTAGATAATCTTATCCCTTCCTACCCCTTTCCTTTATTTTACTCTAATTTCTGCTTAGAGTTGAAAATATTCAACCTTTGAGTTTCTTGGTTTGGCCTATTTCACTTAGCATGATATTCTCTATTTCCATCTATTTACCAGCAAAAGCTTTAATTTCATTTTTTAAATTTCTGAGAAGAACTCCATTGTGTGTGTATGTGTACGTATGTTTCTGTGTGTGTGTGTGTGTGTGTGTGTGTGTGTGTATCTCCACCCCACAATTTTTTAATCCAATAAATGACTTTCAATTAATTGGGGTAGGTACTCCCACCTCCCTTCCCTAACACATGTGGTCTTGTATAAGCCTTGACTCCACTGTTTTCCAGTGTCTACTGATAAAAAACAAGTTCAAAACAAGTTGGGCTAAAATGAGGGTGAAGGAAGATGAAAAGCCTTTCATCAGCCACCATGCCAAGGGCTAATATCAGAGCACCATCTCCTTTGAAGGGATGGAGAAGCTGCTTATAGACCGCTTCCTAAGTCAGAGTCATGGGATGGCAGACTTACATAATTGGCATAAATGTCTGTGTGATTCCACTCCAAGCCATCATCCAGTACAGTGATAACAACTCCTTTGCCTGTAATGCCTTTTTGCCAAACAGGTATCACATGAAGATCCAGCTTAGGCAGAGCTGCAGTCATCCTGGTATCTTGCTAACAAAAGCAAAATATGAAAGCATTGGTAAAATCATGATTTGCTTGCTATAAAATGGATACTTAAACTCCAATCTGGAGACCTATCTTTCTTTTACCTTGGGTCACTCTACTATTCAGAAGAAGGCAATTAGGTGAAATGAAAAACAAAGTGGAGGGTAGGGCCAATCAAATCATCAGAGTGCTCCTCTTCTCCCAACTATCCCAATGGAAAATCACTTGAAAGCATGAATCATCCTATGTGACTTCTCTTTGAACTATATGAATTCAAAGAAGTTTGCCTCTAAGTTTCTTTCTTTTATAATAACATGCTCAAGCTTTTCATCTACTGAAGATTTATTTGATGACCTGTGTTTCCATCTCCCCAAAGTCCTGAGCCTCCATTGCCATACTGAATTCTCATTATATTGTCAGATGCAAAGTCATTCATGGATGTTTTAGAACATTTCCTCTGGAAGAAAAATAAAAATGTGGAATGTTCAGGAGAATGTGGTCTCATCAGTAATTGTAACTTAATTGCCAATTTCCATGCATGAGTGTTTTGCAGAATAAATATCTGTGAAAGGAGATTTAGGGTTTTCTTTTCAAATAATTTTGCTGTTATAGTATGTACGACTATATTGGAGAAAAACTGAGTAACAAGGGAACACAGATATAAGTGTACTTCCAAGAATGAGAGAGACACAGTAGAAGAGTGCCAGGTACCAGGAGTCAGTAAGAAATTCATAAGTACAACAATCAAAAGTGTCAATGAATAGATTTTCCCCTTGTGAATGAGCCTCATAAAAAGGGGAAATCAAGAATTCAACAAGCTAGTGTGAAGCTGAATCACAGGAGATTGAAAACACACATAAACTGCTATCCAAAGTTAGGAAGAAGTTCTGTGTGTCAATTGCAGGAGCAATGAGAGTTTGGTGTTAAGAGTGTGACCTCTGGGGTCATGAATCATGGCCCACCATCATTTGATTTCAGAAAATTATTCAACTTGACAACTCTCTATTTCTTCTCCTATTAAATGGGCATAATTACTAGATTTACAACATAAGGTGTTTGTGAAAACTAAATGAGTTAATTTATGTCAAATATACTAGTATTGGGCACATTGTAAATGCACAAGCATTGACTGATAGGTGTCTTTTAATGCAATGAGCAATTGTTGCTTAGGTGTAGAGAATGGCAAGAGAAACTGATCCCCTATCCCATTCATTATGCAACAAAAGTGTCTAACCCTTAGGTTACAGTTATTGTGGAAAATTGTCTTTTATGATGTTTTCAGCAGCAAATACTTCTATTAACATGCATTACTTCTATAGAGGTTTAACATTAAAACAGAAAAGAGAACACCCTGCAGGCAAGCAGCATCAATTACAATTTCTCCACTCACTGCCCACACACCTATAAAGATTCGGTAAGTATTTTAAAGGTAGAACAGTGTGCAAGTCTAGACATTTGCAAACAGACTTTCCTTGTGTTCCTTCCTTTAGCCTTACTCAGATATCCTCACCTGTAGCAAGTAAGAATTGCCATTCATGGCTGTATATACCTATCGTGTTCAATGTATTCT